ATTCTTCGGCGTCGTTGACCTCATCTGTGGGTCAAACCAAACGCAAAGAGATCTACAAATATGAGGCCCAATGGACTGTCTATTCAATGAATTGGTCCGTCAGACCCGACAAACGCTTCCGATTAGCTCTCGGATCCTTCATCGAGGAGTACAATAATAAAGTATGTCTTGTCTTGACTCACATCACCACCATTTGATCCAATCTACTCTTTATATCCCTATATGTCATGTCTTATTAATTTTCTATCATTTATTTATAATTATATTAAACGATGAATTAAATAGAGATTTGTATTTAATGCGAATTTTCCTTATAATTAAGTCTTGATTTGAAGTGAAATGAAGTCTTAATTAGTCGTCAAAATGGGTCACAACTTTTCTAATCTCTATTTAAACGCATTTATATGTCATTCAGTAGTGTTTTAATGTTTACTTTGATTTTCATAACATTAGTGTTTTGTTTGTTTTTGATTACAATTGAAAACAATATGATTTCGTAAATAAGAAATGATTAACAATTGTTTGTTGAATGTATGGCAACGATAGGTGCAGATCGTGGCTCTGGATGAAGAGTCTTCAGAGTTCGTGGCGAAGTCCACGTTCGATCACCCGTACCCGACAACTAAGATCATGTGGATTCCCGACGCCAAAGGACTCTTTCCCGACCTATTGGCCACTTCTGGCGACTATCTGAGGGTCTGGAGGGCCGGCGAAAACGACACTCGACTCGAATGCCTACTTAATAACGTAAATGTTTTTATTATTAATCTTGTGATCATATTATCAATGAATGTCTCGATGTCTGTGCAGAACAAGAACTCTGACTTTTGCGCTCCATTGACATCGTTTGACTGGAATGAAGTCGATCCCAATCTGTTGGGCACTTCCAGTATAGACACGACGTGTACGATATGGGGTCTCGAGACGGGCCAAGTGTTAGGTCGCGTGAATCTGGTCTCCGGACACGTGAAGACACAACTCATTGCTCACGACAAAGAGGTTTACGACATAGCGTTCAGTCGCGCCGGCGGTGGACGCGATATGTTTGCCTCTGTAGGCGCCGACGGGTCGGTCCGGATGTTTGATTTGAGACATTTAGAGCACTCGACCATTATATACGAAGACCCACAACACCACCCATTATTACGGCTCGCGTGGAACAAACAGGACCCCAACTATTTGGCCACCTTTGCGATGGACGCGTGCGAAGTGATCATTTTGGACGTACGGGTGCCCTGCACTCCAGTCGCCCGACTCAACAACCATAGAGCCTGTGTTAATGGCATCGCATGGGCTCCACATTCTTCATGTCATATCTGTACAGCAGGTCTGTAGCTGTTATTCATTAGTGTCCTATTTATGTCGATAGAAATGAATGTAAACCATAATTGTTGTGTCTTTTGGGGTACAGCTGATGACCATCAGGCGCTCATTTGGGACATCCAGCAGATGCCGCGCGCCATTGAAGACCCGATTCTCGCCTATACGGCTGATTGTGAAATAAATCAGATCCAATGGGCGAGTACTCAACCCGATTGGATCGCCATTTGTTATAATAATTCACTCGAAATCTTAAGGGTTTGAACTCAATATCAAACACTTTTCAGCACTTTTTTCATAAGGTTTTCATAAATAACTCATTCATTCATTGATTTAATAATACGTGAAAATATATTCACAACATTATCTCATTTTTCAACAAAAATCATTAATTGATTGCAATTTGCAATAATTGGTTTGTTTAGTCAGTAAACATTACCATTGATCGCAAACTTAATGTCTATTCATATAATATAGTTATCTCTGGCATAGGATGCCATTAAATACTGTTCAATACAATTGATTCATTCTTTGTCTTATAGTGTATTTATAATTAATATAACAAACAATTCTTTTCTGTATTTTATACATAAAAGTCATTCAAAAATATATAATCGATTTATTATTTCATTATATATTGATTATTGAATCGATTTTTCGAAATGTTTTTATGCATTTAACGAATAATTGAATGTAGATTTGATTTAATTATTTATTATTGACATTACATATAATACACTAAAATAATTGTCAAACCAATGGTTTCCGTAATTAATTGCTTCCGAATTAGTTTAATATTAATTTTTCCATTTTATAATTGACTGAATTTTGATGGAAACATACAATACATTTGTAAACATTTCATTGCTTGCTTTAGTGCACAATTTCTTCTATGACTAATTGGTTTGACTATTATTTTGAATTTCTAATAACTTATTGAGATTTACAGAATTTTTTTACAGAATATTCTGATTATAAAAACA